AACCCTGGTTATTTTACCCAAAATATATATTGAGTGTCTATTATACGTCAGTTGTTATTCCAAGTTCTGGAAATACAATAAATAGTAACAAACAAGTAAGTGACTGGAGAGATGGTTCAGTGGTTAAGAGTGCACACTGCTTTTTTAGATGACTGAAATTCAGTTCCCAGCACCCACCTCAGGCAGCTCATAACCACCTGTAACTCCAGCTCCAGTGGACCTGATACCCTCTTCTGGCCTCTGCAGACACCTCCTGAACTCACATGCATATACTCCCACCCCATAACTAAAAATGAAAAGTGTTTTCTATTTCATTATTCTGTTCAATGGTGGACCATATGTAATAAGATTTATTCTCACATGTCATATGTTTTGCTTTATCAAGTTTTTTCAAATACATTTTATCACATTTCTACCCCTTTCCTATCTGCACCCACCTTACCACTCCCTTACTACCCTGTGCCTGATTTAATGTACTCTATTAAATACACACACACACACACATACACACACACACACACACACACACACACAGCGAGAACAAAACTAAGTTAAAATATAAAGGACAAACTGGGAAAAATATCTGCAATTTGCAACACCAATAAGAGTTAATATCCTAGATATGTAAAAAGCATCAGAAGCAGAAATTACTCAACCAAAACAACTACTGGAAAATAAACTAGGGATATGAGAAAAAGTTCATAGGAAGCTGGGCCTGGCAGCACAGGCCTATAATGCTTGTCACTTCCTCAGGAGTCTGAGGAAGGAGAATCGTAAATTCAAGTCCTGTCTGGGCAATGGAGTAAGACACTGTCTCATAACAAAAAGGAAAAAAGAGGCCTGGGGATCCAGGTCAGTGGCACAATGCTTGCCTAGTGTGCACAAGGCCCTGGGTTCCATCCCAAGTATCAAAAAAAGTTTGCAGAAGAAAGGTAAATGGATCTTAACCCTAGGAAGGTGCCCAGCCCCACTCAGGATGGAGACATGCAAAGGAAAACTATACCCAGGTGCCACTTCTCACTGATCAGACTGGTGAAAATCAAAACACCTGACAATATATTCTATTGGTAAGACCCTAGCAAAACAAGAAGGCTCATTTATTGCTGGCAGAAGTGCAAAATGGCACAAGCCCTATGGTGAGGAATTTGAGGAAATGCTACAATTGCTTTCTTGTTGTTTAAAAGTCATTCAATTAGACTCACGATCCCATTGAGCACTTCCTCCCAAGAGAAGGATGATTCATGCCAGCAGCCTAGAAAACCATACTTCGGCTGTTCTCAACTTTCTGAGTTGGGCTGTGGAACTGCATTTCTGAAAATGCTTCCAGGTGATTTTAGATTACATGCTCATCCCCAACCCTCATCTCTCCCCATCCCTGGAGGTAAACTACTGATCTAAAGCAAACCCACTTTTACTGAAACCAAGAGGGGTCAGGGACTTGTCTGAAGTTCCACAGTCAGTATAAATAGCACCAACCTGAGACCAGTTCTCTTTTAAAAAATTTATTTATTTATGTGATGCATGTATGTTTTGCTTGCATGTATATAAGTGCACTCATATGTGTAATGTTGGTGAGGGTCACGTTAGCCACCATGTGGTGCTGGGAACCAAACCCAGGTCCTCTGCAAGAACAGTGTTCTTAACTGCTTAGTCATCTCTCCAGCCCCGTGAGACCAGTTCTTGACATAGTTCTTGATCACATTCCAAAGACTCAGTAAGAGAACATGTGCTTTTGATGAGAGCCAGCGTGGAGCTAGCACAATGGTTCTCAATGCACAAGGAAGAATTATTTAGGGGGATTTGAGAAAACACCAATGCCCCGGGTGCCAGTCCAAAGATTCTGGAATATTTGGCATAGGGTAGGTCTCAGCCATGAGGGGGGGGGAGAGAGAGAGAGAGAGAGAGAGAGAGAGAGAGAGCAAAAAGAGAAGAGGAGAGGAGAGGAGAGAGAGAGAGAGAGAGAGACAGAGAGAGACAGAGAGAGACAGAGAGAGAGACAGAGAGAGAGAACGAGAGAGAGAACACATGGAGACCATAGCAGACCTCAGGTGTTTTTCCTCAGAAGCCATCTACCATTCCACCTTGTTTTTTGAGACAGGGTCTTTCATTGGCCTGAAGCTTGCCGATTAGGCTAGACTGGCTGGCCAGGAAGCTCGATTAGGCTAGACTGGCTGGCCAGGAAGCTCTAGGGATCTTCCTGGAACCTGGCTTTTTAAAAAATATTTTATTTATTGAGCTGTATGTGGTGGTGCACGCCTGTAGTTCCAGCACTTGGGAGGCAGAGGCAGGCAGATCTCTGTGAGTTCAAGGCCAGCCTGGTCTACATTGTGAGT